CATACCTCTCTTCTCCCGTAAACTAAAAATAGTCTCTGTGCTACAGGAATTGTGGTTTACACACTGACTCTAAAAAGTTTGTTTCCTGGGAATTGGTACAAAGGAAGGACAATGAGGCATGAGAAGCGAAGATTGAGGTTTGATATCCTAGAATATCTTGTAGTCATAATTGAGCCTTCAATTATTATTGTATTTATTCAATCCGATTATTATGTAGCTCTCAAGTTCCTAAGAAAGATCTCCAGGTTAGCATTAATCGGGAATGAGGACTACCAGAAGCAGAGCAATAAACAGCTATGTCAAGAACAGGCTAAAAGTGTGTCTAAATTTAAATGAACCAACAGGAGAGATAGTGGTGCATCTAAATGGCAAAGGTATTTCTCATGTCAGAAAAAAATTTTCAGTAACAAATGCTGGCAAAATAAATTCACTGAAAAATCCTATGAGAAATAGCTTTCTTTATTCATACCCAACAAATATTTATTGAGCACCTTTTACCTGGCAGGCACTGGGGCTTCAGACTTGGCCCTTTCCCTCGTGGAGTGTACAACCTGCTGGGAAAGACCGCCATTAAATAAGCAGGTACATTAAAGTACAAGGCGTGTGAAAACAGAGAGAAGGGGGGCATCACAGGGACACATAGCTGGGGGCCTTAAATGGGGTGGGGAGTCCCTGGGGAAACCATGTTTGCTCTGATATCAATCCTTGAAAAATAATACTGTGTTGTACAGATCATAGCTTATTTCTGACATAATTGTGGTTTCATTCATGTTATAGAACACACTTGGACCTTTGCTCATCATCTCTACCCACCCAGTGGTGATATCAAAACATCCAACGACCAGGAACATAGGACATGGAGCAGTTAGAATAGAAGCTAACCATTGTGCTAGGGCAGGGTCCTGGAAGCTGCCTAGTGTGCAGTGCATTAATTGCTCGATCTTGGAGAGGTCTGGGGGTCCCGTGGGAGGAACTACAGTGGAGGAGAATGACTCAGGACCACAGCTATTTACCAACCACGATTGCTTCCTGGTACATATCGATTGCATATCTGCCCTAGGTATACTGGGCTCCTCTATCGGAACAGTCTAGATTAGAATTCAAACTTAACAGGAAAATAAATCCCTTATTGTTTCAGATAATCTTATTGCACCAAACCAATCTCTAAAAAAACAAAGTATTTTATACAGTAATATGAAGTTGCTAGTTTTACCAAGCATTGGTTCTAATGTGTTGAGCACTAGCATATTTTTCCATATAGTGTTAAACATAAAGCATGACATTAAGCTTGCTTGCTTTATTTTTCTTAAGGACAGAAATACAATAACATTATTTAAAGAATTTCAATAATTTCTAAATTTAGGCAGTTTAAAAATATACTAAATTTGGGGGGTATAATTTCATGTGATAAGTAAAGGTCAAATACCTCTTTCAAGGTAAGAAAAAGGAAGAAACTTTGCCAAAGTTTAAATGTTTTATTGAATTCACAAAGAGCCAGCAATTGGCTAATACAAAAAAATTACGTTATTGCTTAAAAGGAAAACATAAATTTATCTTTAGAAGAAGAGATTATATTAATTGAGCTTGGAGCTACCAATGCATTGTTAAGTATAACAATCTGTTTAAATAAGGCCTTCATTTTAATCTGGCAAAATATGATGAAGCTAGTTTTCTGGTATAAATCCAAGCTTTGCAAAATCCCAACATGTAACACTTAGGAAATGCAAATCTCCTACTGTATTTATTACATACGAAACTCTTACAGCCAAGGCAGAACTGCTTATATGAATAGCCGATTCAAACTAAACACTGTAAATTCCTGAATTTACTTTTGCTCTACGCTGATGTAAACACTCATGGATCGTCAAGTCAATCCTAAGGGAAGTTTACTTCTCCCTGGCTCTCTTCATTTGCACATGTCAAACAGCTACAAATATTTATATAATAACCTAGTAGAACTGCATAAAATACAATCACTCTAAGAAAAGGGGAAGGGAAAAATTGTTTTTCTTTTACTTTAATCTCAAATTGTAACAGAGTTTGTGCGAAAAGGTGACCTCTTACATCCTCACACGTTTTTCTCCTGAAAAAGAACCGTTTTTTCTATCATTGGGTAAGAGCATTATTAAATTTGTATTTTCAGATTCACTTATGAGCATTGCTCTGGTAAGAGCTAATGATGTCGCAGATATTCACATCGGAGCTCATTTATCGAGGATCAAAATCTAGTTTGAAACAAAGGGAACTCACACTACCCTTCCAAGCGACTGTGCCCTTCCTAAAACCCAGGAGGAAAAGTGCCAAGTGTTGGGAAGAGCCAGGGCCAAGAGTCACTTCCAGGGCCTTGCAAGAGCTTTTCTGGCAACTGAACATATTGACAGAGAATTCGTTGGGTCCCGTTTTTCAGTAAGTCTCCATTTGGCAGGCATATTTTAATGAAGTAGGCTTTTAAAGTTAAATCTGCAGGCTACAAAAATAACCCCAACTCTAATAGATTTGCAGGTCTGGTCTTAGTATATTTGTAGGGTCGTCCTCCCCACCCCCATTTACTAATAGAAAGGCAAAAATATGTCCCTTGAAAGAAGCATCTTACATTTGTTAGAGGCTGTGGAGGCAGCACTGTGGAGGGACCAGCATGGGCTTTGGGATCTGACAGGCCAAGATGTGGATTCCTGCCCCACCACCTATTAGTTGAATGATCTGAATAAACTATCCAACCTCTCCAAGTGTCCTTACCTGTATATGTCATCTGGGAAAATGACACTTCTTTGGAGGGTTGTTGGGAGAATTGGGAATAATCTATGACAGTGCTGGGCACCCAGTAAGTGCTCAATAAATAACAGCCCTTGATTTTGTTTGTTTGTATTTTGTTTGTGTTCTTTTGTGGTGGTTTTGCCTGCTCTTCACCAGCAGCATCTTCCCAAACACCAGTGCTGTGGTAACCTAGACCATTTCTCATGGCCAACCCCAGCTCTCCACGGTGGGGATTCTGCCTCCTAGGGGACATTTGGCACCATCTGGAGACGTGTCTGGTTGTCACACTGAAAGGGAGGGAGAAGGTGCTCTGGCAGCTAATGGGGAGGACCAGAGATGCTGCTAAACATCCCACAATGCACTCCCTCCCCCAACAAAGAATGATCCAGCCCCAAATGGCAGTAGTGCTGAGGTTAAGAAACCCTGGCCAACACAAGAATCACAATAAATTCTAGAGGCAGGGAAACCATAGCAACAGTCAGAACTTCATCATAAACTTCAAGCTCTCCATAAAGGGAATGAAGGACAGTCTCAGAAATAAGCATAAAATAAGTACGAATAACTACTGAACAGGCTGCCTTGTAGGTGGGCGTGGGTGGGTGTGTTTGTGATTTATTTTGAGTTTGTCTTTTTTTTAAACAGTACACCCATTCTTGCTTCAGATATATATATGGAGTGTGATGAAGTCAGTGTTCTGTACCACCAATCTGGAATAAATGGTAACTTGCCCTGTACAAAGGGGGCTTTCAGTAATGCCCAAGTCTTCAAGCCCATGAATTAAAAATATTGATATGATTGTGTATACATCTGGACACTTAAGATCAGTATACTTCATATGTTAATGTATAAGAAGGTTTAAAGGATTGAATGCATAAAAACATTTACTGTATATACTTCAGTGTGTAGGATTTTTATGAAAAAAATAAAAGAGAATCTGTGACATAATCTAAACAGGAACTGGACTAAAAGTTAACTTTGTTTTGGAGGCTATGCCATGCAAACCAACAGTATAACTTTAGAGTTTTTATGGCCCCTTGTACCGCTGAAATTCCTGTGGACGGTAAAAGCAACTGAAGTGCAGTTACAAATCACACTTATGCAAGCTGGTCTTCCCACCTCAATGACTTTTATTAGGGTACTATGGGTTTTAAAATAAAAGCCTCATTTTATGTTTTAAAAAATCATCACTAATTCAGAAAGTCTTGTTTCTTTTGAACCCAAAATTAGTGAGATTATCCAACTCTAATATATTTTGGTTTCTCACTTGAGGAATGATATTTTCAAACACTGCAAAAACCAAAAAGCCAACCCAGGGAATGTCTCAGGTAGAAGTAGATTTTTAAAAAAAATGGGGAAGGGAATACAGTTCAGTAGTAACCAGTATCCTATTCCCTCCCCAAATTTCTTGAACAAACATGTATGGCATGGTTTTCCTACTCTGTTAGGATATAAAAAGTGTCAGAAAATATACTTAACTTACAATAAGGTAATAATTTGGTTGATTTTATACAAATTTATTTGAAATAGGAATTTTGAAAATTATTCATGGGGGTAAATGTCTAATCCTGCAAATAGAACTAAAAAAGATCACTTTAACTATTGAGAACCTGCATTTTCTGCTTAAATTTTTTTTAAGTAGAAAGGATTGGTGCTATGGAAACACTGTGTAAGCATCCCAGGAAAGAGACTCTGGCCCTTCCATCTTTGAGATCGTGTGTGTGTGTGTGTGTGTGTGTGTGTGTGTGTGTAAAGAATTAACAGCATAGGCGAGTCTCTGGTTGAGAAATCAGGTGTGAAGTCAGAAGAGGCAACAATAAAGACACTCAAATTCTGCTTTGTGCTTCGTTCACAGGAACAGATGGGGATTTTAAGGCTGCTATGAAAAGAATGCTGAGTTGCAGCTCTTGATCGTCTAGTCTTAAACTCAGTGACAGAATTTGGTGTATCTGTTCCCAGGTACCAGAACTGTACTTCTTATAAAACCATGGCATAGCCTCAGCAAAGGCTCAAAAGGAGTGATGGAAAACCACAAGGTGTAAAGGACATTCCTGACCAGGTGAACAAGGAGAACATGAAAGAGGTGAGTTCAAGTCAAATGCAAGGTCCTATGTTGAACACTAGGCTACAAACCCAAGAGTCTCATCAACCCAGTGAAAATGGAAAATGTCATCTTGGTGAATTCATGGATTATATAGGGTGTCCCCCAAAAATGTATACTCACCTTTGAATAATTATTAAGGCAGTGTGTATTAAAATACATTTCATTTTCAAATGTGAGCTATCAGCTCTTAAAGTGTGAATACATTTTTTTGAACACCCTGTAGAAACATAATGAACTTTAGAGAAAACCGAGGTAAGTGGGGGGTTATCTTCCCACTAAAAATGAAGGAAGACGAGCATCCCCACTCCGTCAGAGGCAGACAGGCCAAGAGCCTGGTCAGGGCAGATGACGGCTGACTCCTGTGGCGTTCCTGTGTCCACCCCTTCAACAAGGGGTAACTGTGCCGTACCTCACGGCAGGCGCCAGGCTGCATGCACACAGAGGCAATAACAACGCCTGCCTCAAGCAGGTAACAGGCTGGTGGGAGACTGCACAACGATCATTAGAATCGTGGATGTACTCCGCTCTGCAAGTATTTCCTTGAGTTTTGATGAGGCCCTGCATCCTATTTCCACCTGGTATTTACCCAACCAAGAGTATAACAGCTACTTGCATTGAACATGTCTTTCTTCAGGAACAGCTGAGGTTTAGATAAATCTTTGTAACTGTGAAAAAGCCTGAAATCGTTTAGTTCTAACTCTTTGAGGAGGCTGTACCAGAACCGCACGACACTGCTGTCGCTGCCGCTGACCTCGAACCCAGGCCAGTGGAGATGGATCTCAAAGACGAGCTGTCCAATCTGTTCCAGGACATCTTCCAGAATAAGATTTTCCAAAACTTTCCATTCTGCGCTCTCCAGATCTGCTTTGAGAACATCAATCTGTAATATAAGGATAAACGGAGATCAGCATATTCAATAAACATGGTTTAAAACGCCATCGTGCTGTCAGGAGCATCACCATTGAACTACCTCCCCAGAAAGTAGAATTGTTCAAATTTTAGATTTAAAGGTCTTTTTCAGATGGTCACTTACAAATTTCTAGCCTCACTCCACACCAAATATTAACATACAAATAACGAAATGCCAGTCGGAAATCATAACGGGCCCTCGTACTTTCTGCCCAGTTGCAACGGATGCCCGAGAAGGAGATGCTGGGCTGTGTGTATCACGAAGCTCTGTGCCCACAGCCTCTCCCCGAAACCTACGTGCTGCACAGAGGAACCAAGTGTGTCCAGACTGAACGATGGCCTGCAGAGAGGGCCTGACAGAGCACTGCTGGCTGCAGGGACCCCCTCACAAACCATACCCCCTCCAACTTCACCAGCACTGAGAGTTCTCAGGAATATTGGACTTGTAAAAAAATATTATTATGTCATGATTTCTTTAAAAAGTATATACCGGCACAGAATTCCTTTTTTCTTAAGTGAAAATACCATTCTCTGTTCATTTAATGAATACAAATTCACATTCCGGATGAGATAAATATGGAAAAAAAGAGTTAGGATGCCAGAGATTTTACAATTAATTAAGGTATGAGAGTCAGCTCCTTTTTGCTGGCTTTGCACAAAATCCATTAGAATAACAGAAAGCAATGAAAGCTAATTCTTTACCGAGCGCTTATATGGGCCTGGCACTATGCTAAGTGCTTCATCTTGCAATATCCATGTACTCCCCTCAACAATTCTGAAAGGATGGTTCTCTTTGTGTCCCTATGTAGAGTTGAGGAAACAGACTCACAATAACCCATCCCGTCACACAGCTGGAGAGGCAGAGGTGAAATTAGAACCGAATCTGTCTCCTGGCCCATGTTCTTAACCACTACACAGTGTTGACTCCCCATAAACCACAAGAGGAACAATAGTAACTCGGAGTCCCTAAAAGGCTTTGGTTTGGAAAATAAGGTGCTATCGGAGAGCGAGTAAAGGTCTGTGAGTAGAAGCATTGTTATCGACATCACAGCTTTACATTTGCAGAGCACTTTCCAGCTTAAAGAATTACTTTCTACATCTATCATCTCAGTTATGCAGCCCCATCAGCAGACAAGGATTTGGTAAAGCTGACTTCCAAGGAATAAAGAGAAGTGGAAGTGGATAATTAGACCACCAAGGAAGGTGACAACATTCAGACACAGACTAGAATGAAGAGGATGGAGGGATCACTGCAGTAGAGCAAAGGCCGGCTCCCCAAGAGGTGACAGCACCACACTAATCAACCCTTCAGGAAGTGCCGACTGGAGAGTAGAATATTTTTGCCTGTGTAGAGGGATGGATAAGGACCAAGACCAATTCTGCCCCAGCCTCTCCCAATTCTGCCCCAGCCTCTCCTCTCTCTCAGTGCATGGCTGTTTGATAAGTTTCTCAGATGCAGCTGAGTCATGAGGTAGCATTTCTTGCAGGATTTCAGAGTTGGATGGACAAGATGCATAGAATTTAGACATAATTGCTCCAAGGAATGCTCCAAGGAAAGGGTCTTTGCCCAGCATCCTGAGATCCTGTGGGAGACACCTTCATCCTCTTGCCTTGGCTAGTCCCTCCTGGTCCATCAGAGAAAGAGTGATGATGATAACAACCCCAAGATTACCCAGAGGCCTGAGAAAAGGGTAGATATCTATAAAGCAGCTGGTTGGTCCAACAGTTTCAAAATGAAAGAGGAAAACTTAAAACAAACAAAAAACAACTTTCTTTTCTGAAAGGAACAGAGCAAAGACAGGTTCCATGTGAACATACACAAGGCTAAAATAATTCTTGTCAATTGGATGCAATAGAATTAATTTGCCCCTTTTTTCATCTCTGTGGCCTTGGCACTTCTTGGCTTTGTTTAATTTTTGAAGTCTAAGGCAGAATATTCCTGAATGAGGGTAATTACGCTGCCAAAAGAGATATTTAATCAAAACTTCAAAACACTTTTTAATTGATACAGAAAATATCCAAAACCAAAAATCAACAATTGTTATGCCAATTCACATAGTCAAGAATTTCTTAGGTGCCCTGACTGGTTTGGCTCAGTGGATAGAGCGTCGGCCTGCAGACTGAAGGGTCCCAGGTTCGGTTCTGGTCAAGGGCACCAAAAAAAAAAAGAATTTCTTAGGTTCCTTATGGATTTATTTTTTTACTATGGTTTTCTGTTAGTTTGCATATGTTGAATGATCAATAAATTAAAGCATTAAAGGGACAGGGTAAAGCTAATGAGCCTAAAATTGGCCTAAAAACTATAATTATGAAATATAGAGGAATTACTTTACATATTTTTTCCAAACATTTTTAAAATAAGCTGTTAATCAGAAGTTATGAGCAACTGGAAAATAACCAAATTATTAGGCTAAATCACAGCAAATATATGCTTTCTTTGGAAATCCAATCTTAATTTACAAAATGTTAATCCATTCTAAAGATCAAAAATTATATTCAAACATGACAACATCCACACCCCCTTTTGATTTCCGTGACTGAAAATTCTCCACTTCAATCAGAATTGCACAGGTTGGTCTATCTCATGCAGCCCAGGCGTAGTGTGGCACTGAGGAGCACAGATAACCAAATGCTGTGATTAAAACATGGTTTTCTCTTACACTGTGATTCTTCTATTTCTAGCATTTCAGAATGTTCTGTTACTACTATTTTGCAAATATAATTTCCATTATTACTGCATAATGCACCCACTATTATTATTATTAAAAGGCTCTAAACATCTCTGAATAAGATATGCCAATTGTAATATACTAATACCAGTTTTCTACAATTGTGGCACTAAAAAATCATGCAAATGATCATATAAGAATAATCAAGTGCAATCCTAATACAGTTAGGTTAAATAGAGTTTCTTGAAAAAAACAACAATTGTTAACTGTCTGCAATCTTCAGAATGGCTGAAGACATTCTTGGGTAGAAGGGTCTCAAAGAAGGTAGGTGAAACAAAGTTTTGGTATCATTTCAGAGGCATTTAAAGGGTTTAATCATACTTTTAACAGTTTTATTATTTTTTAGTCCTAATCTGAGGATATTTTTTCCATTGATTTTTTTTAAGAGAGAGTGGAAGGGAAGAAGGGAAGGAGGAGAGAGAGAGAGAGAGAGAGAGAGAGAGAAACATTGATGTGAGAGAGACACATAAATTGGTTGTCTCCCGCTTTCACCCCAACCAGGGTGGGGTGGGGATCAAACCTGCAACCCAGGTACATGCCCTTGACCAGGAATTAAATCCTTGACCCTTTGGTTCCCAGTCTAATGGTCTAACCTTGAACCCCACTGGCAGAGCTCAATCATAATTTTAAAATAATTATGTCGATACAACTTCTTCCTGCTTTTTGGATTAATTGTGAAAAGTTGTTTTTAATGATTAAAGTAAATCCAAGCTTTTATATATCAAGTCTACTTAAAGCAAGGTATGTATATCTGCACCTACAAAACTAAAGCTGAACACATTAAAAAGAGGATCATGTTCTCGTAGAAAAATAGAAGAAATTAATCTATCTTAAATGAACAAGAGGATTAAAAGTCTCTTTAAGAGCCTTAGACTTTAAACACATTAGATCAGGTTCAATTATCACTGTGGGCTGGCAGAAATGTAACATTACAAGATTTATGTTACCACCAGGGGAAAGGAGATAAGACTCACCCGGCATATTGTGAGAAATATAAAGGCCTACTCTAAGCTAATGTAAGGCCAATTCTGAAATAATAATAAAAGAAGATGAGTTTTATGTAGTGATCAGCTCACAGAAATAACCTCTGTAGGGGAGCAACACTTGGCAAATGAATTTAAAAAAAAAATAAGGAAAATATTTACAAACAAAGACTCTTTTGCCAGATCTCCAGCCTGTTCCAAAGGCTGCTGAGCAAGTGTCTTCTGAACAGGATCAAATGATGTAATGCAGGACCTCAGAAACCCAGGTCAGGGCCGATCATTGGTGAGCTGGTGACAAGTCAGAAGTCAGCAAGGCTATGGATGACATACAACAGCAAGGGAGGAAGCAGCACAAATTCAGGCAGGATGGAGGTGGCAGCCAGGGACTTGGCCAGGGCAGGGTCACGCAGGAAGGCCATGACAGGACCAAGGACAGCACCAGGCAGCCGCTTTAATTTATTTCTACCCCCACTTCCCTGGGCAGCTAAAACCAACACACAGTCTCTCACCTTAGACCAGAACCCCGCGCCTTTAAGCTACATCACCTGGTTCATTTATTTTTCTGACCTGATCATATTCATGCAAGCATTCTCAAGTATTTCCAGGAGGAGATGGAGCATAAAATATAAACATGTATAAACTATTCCTACACAAACAGATGTGTAAACAAATAAATGACCAAGTAAACAAACACCCAAATAAAATGTTCCTCAGCCAGACATGTTCTTGAGGTTCAAGAGGTGGGAGGCCTTTGAAGTGGGACCAAGTCAATCTCAGAGCATGGTGAGGTCAGCAATGTGACGTAGGCTACATAAAACATGGTCAAGTGCAAAAAGCAAGCACTGATTTAGAGGGACACACAATAAACTCATTGGGTGATTTAGATACTTTTTCAATATACTGAAATATGAGTTCAAAATAACACTGTGCTGGGGGTGACAATTATGGAAGGATCAGCAGTGAGTGAAGACAAGTGTCAGAAGACAGAATTGAGAGGAGATGAGGGAATAGTAACAGGTCTCGGGGGGTGTGCTGTATGTCAGGGTCACCTTGACGGCCTCCACTTCTGGACCCTGGATGGACTTCTGGGGAACTACATAACATGGTTCCACTCCTTTGTCGACATGCCTGATTCCCCTTCCCTCCCCCCTTTACTTGGGCTGCAAGTTCTTCCAGGGCAGGACCTAACTCCTCTTTGGTATCAAGTTTCCATGAGAGTTCCTGGCAGGCAGTCCGTGTAATATCCTATCAGATAACAA